GTTGAGAACCACTGTTTTAGACAAATAGTTTTTTATTTTTTTAAAAATATATATTTCATTGATTTTTTTACAGAGAGGAAGGAAGAGGGATAGAGAGTTAGAAACATCGATGAGAGAGAAACATCGACCAGCTGCCTCCTGCACACCCCCCACTGGGGATGTGCCTGCAACCAAGGTACATGCCCTTGACCAGAATCGAACCCGGGACCCTTCAGTCCACAGGCCGACGCTCTATCCACTGAGCCAAACCGGTTTGGCTAGACAAATAGTTTGACATAATCCTATAAATATGCCATAATGTGATGAATGTTTGGGGGAATATATGTTTAAAGTGTGATGGGAACAAAGTAGAAAAGAGGATTAGTTCTCACTGTGGAGGTTGCAGTACTTCACAGAGGAAATGGCATTGAAGAATATTCCTTTTTTAAATATATTTTTATTGATTTCAGGGAGGAAGGGAGAGGAATAGAGAGAAACATCAATGATGAGAGAGAATCATTGACTGGCTGCCTCCTGCACGCCCCCTACTGGCGGGGGGATCGAGCTCGCAACCCTGGCCTGTGCCCTTGGCCAGAATCGAACCTGGGACCCTTCAGTCCACAGACTGACGCTCTATCCACTGAGCCAAACCAGCTAGGGCAAGAATATTCTTAAATGATCCCGTGGACTGTGCCAGAGTGTGGTGGGTGTGGGGGGCACAGAACGGACATTCCGGTTATGAGAAAGGGCCCAAAGACAGGGTGAATCTGGGAACAAATTCCAAATTTTCTATGTGCCCAACCAGTAGGCACATGAGGGGGTGTATGAGGGCATGAGGCTGGAAAAGACAGATTGGAACCTTTTTTTTCATGTTTTCTTTTCATTTTAGCAAAACCTCCCTTTAGAATTATCCCAAGTTTCTCATTTTTAAAATCAGGGCTTCTTTGCCATTACATGGTCGAATATTTCCATGTAATGTGTAAGGCTGCAAATAATAGCAGCTTCGTTTTACAGAGAGGAAAGTAAAATAAATACTGATTTGTAGATTGCTCAAGATCAGGCATTCAGACTGGAAATTCGCCCTTGGGTCCTTATGTCATGAAAACTGCGTGACTTTCTTTTTTCCAAGTCAAGAGAAGTAAGTAATCTTGGCTGACCTAGACAAATCACTGGCTAGGACTGTCAGAAGGGTTAGATTTTGAGACAAGTATAGCTTTAGGGAAGAACTAAATATTGTGAACACCATATAAGGGAAGAAAGCATAACATAAGTTTCCACTTAGCATATGGATGGGTAACCTTAAAATCTACTGAGCCCATGAGAACAGCTGCTTCTCTTTCCCAGTTAAATTGGTTCATAAGGAAACAGTTCCCTTTTTTTAAAGTCCCTTTGGGAGACACAGAACAATAGCCCCTGGGGGGGGGGGGCGGGGGGACGGGGGGGGGTCACTGCCAAGATTTGCCCTTTGGCCTTACAGATCCAAAAAGTTCAACTATTCATTCTCCCAGAACAGATCAGGGGTTAGAGGGCTGAATCTGAACTCAAATGAGGTCGATGTTTATTTTATAAACAAAGCTCTTTCTATCGTGTCTCTAGCACCATCTGCTGGGAAAGAAACGCGCCCTTGGTGAGAATACTTAAAGTTGAACCGTCAGAAACCCTACTGGGCAAAGGGGAGAAGAGGAAGGGGGAGGAAGGAGTCGCTAGGCAGAGTCTAAGAAACAACATTAAGTATATGACATTGAAGTTACTTATAGATAGATGTAAAACAAAAATACACACCTTCTAACTGACCAGAAACACACACAAACCGATCATATGTAAAAGATTTTTTTTTAAGTAATAACTAGAATTCATAAACACAGAAAGCATGCCACAAAATATAAGGATAGAACAAAGAACACTTAGAACACGTATATGTCATGTTAATGCCGTGGAATGCCCCCGTTAAACACAGTCTCAGAGATGGACTCCCAAAGCAAAACCCAGCGGAACGCCGTGTACAAACCGAGTGACTCGGGAAGGTTGGAATATGAGACTTCAGGAGCACACCAAACACCTGAAGGCCGAAGTAGCAGGGTCTCCCTCTTACCAGTAAAGGCTGGTTTCAGGACAGGGAGCATCAAATTACATAAAAGAGGACATCTAGTAATGATAAAGGATGCAACTCACAATGAAGGTTCACACAAAAATGAGCATATCTAAGCCCGTAAAGGAAACCTGAGGCATTGTCACAAAACATAAGAAATACAGCCAATATTGACCTAGAAATGTTTTAACTTTTAATAATTCCTGGATCCAAAAGGAAATCAGCCAGTGCCCTCGGCGCTCCCGGATCTGTCTCTTGCTTCAACTGTGTGTGGACAGAACAGACCCAGGGACGCCCCTTCTTCCAGCCTCCGACCACCCTCCAGTGTCTTATCCAGTCACCACCTTTGGAACCATCTCCAGGACCAGCCAACACACTGGTTTCTTTTTCTACCTTAACTCCTTATTGCCCAACAACCATGAGCTCCCAAATTCGTCAGAATGATTCCACTGAAGTGGAGGCTGCAGTCAACCGCCTGGCCAACCTGCACCTGCGGGCCTCCCACACCTACCTCTCTCTGGCTTCTATTCAACCAGGACGATGTGGCTCTGGAGGGCGTGGGTCACCGAGAATTTGCAGCGAAGAAGCGCAAGGGTGCTGAGTGTCTCTTAAAGATGCAAAACCAGTGCGGTGGCCGCATTCTCTCCCAGGTCCTGCTGAAGCCCCCCAAGATGAGTGGGCAAAACTCAGGGTGTATGGAAGCCGCCCTGGCCTTGGAGAGGAGCCTGAACCAGGCCCTTCTGGAGCTGCAGGCCCTGGTTCTACCCGCAGACCCTCAGCTCTGTGACTTCCCTGCAGAACCACTTCCTGGGTGAGGAGGTGAAACTCATCAGGAAGATGGGCGACACCTGGACTCACCTCCACAGGCTGCCGGCGACCCCCAGGCTGAGCTGGGCGAGTATCTCTTCTACAGGCTCACCCTCAGGCACGACTAGGAGCCTGTGGAGCCCAGAGGCCTTTGAGGGGCCCATCTGCATCCCCTAGTGTCTGGCTTTTGCCTGAGCCTCTCCCCGAAACCCCTAAACATTTTTTTAACCACCCTGAAGACCACTCCCAGGTATTGAACCAATGTAAACAATGAAGTTTTTTGCAGGAAAAAAAAAAAAAGGAAGCCGAAACCGGTTTGGCTCAGTGGATAGAGCGTCGGCCTGCGGACTGAAAGGTCCCAGGTTCGATTCCGGTCAAGGGCATGTACCTGGGTTGCGGACACATCCCCAGTGGGAGATGTGCAGGAGGCAGCTGATCGATGTTTCTCTCTCATCGATGTTTCTAACTCTCTATCCCTCTCCCTTCCTCTCTGTAAAAAATCAATAAAATATATTAAAAAAAAAAAAAAAGGAAATCAAACTCCAAAACTAGGAATATATAGAAAATAACTAAATAATGTAAGTATATTATATATAATGTAAATATATACATATATATTGTATACATACATGGAAATATTATAATATACATAATATTATAATTCTATATCATGGAAACTCCCTATCACCTGTATTCAAGCTGTTTCCTCCACATCTTCAACCTCCCTCACCCATTCAACCTAATATGATCTCAGCTCAAGCTTCTGCTCAACCCTTGTCATTTCTTCCATGAAATCTCCCAGTCCGCCACCCCTACGCCCACCCACACTGCCTGTCTTCTCTCTCACCGCTGGGCCGTTCGCGTTAGGAAGGGACTGAAAGGTGATAGGGCAAAATGGCACTGCTTTCAGAACAATGTCCCTTTAACCTCTACTTGAAATCACTCATGAAATAATCCTAATTTCTCCTTTTTGCCCTCAAATCCCTGATTACTTGTTCACTTTTGTTTACATGTTTTATCCACTCTAAGATGCCATCAATTGTAAAGTTCATTATTTCACATCCCACGAAGAAAGGAAAACCTGCCAGTTAAACCATAACATGATTTCAGAGGTTTTAAACTGTGAAAACGAGTGTCTTAAATTAATGAAATGCAGTGTGTCAGTACCATAGGTGGCTGTTTGATAATGTCAGGTTACGTGGCTGGTTCCTCATGTTACATGAGCAGTTTGGACCAGGTGAGCTCTGAGAAACCCTTCGGGTCCAGCACCCTTCAGTTCTGTAACACCAGAGGGATGTTCTTGACGGGGCACCGGTTGTGGTGACCACCACGGCAGGGCTCCTGTCCATGCTCCTTCTGTGTTTTGCCCTGTAAGAGTTGAGGGGCCCCACACTGCAGCGTCCCCATCTCAGAACTGAGTCCCCACCCACATCATTGTGAAGAGGCTTCAAGATGTCCCGCTTCAAGATAAGCACAGATGTGCGGCTCTTAGAGCTTGAGGAGCCTGGCTTACACACACAGCCTTGCGGACTATAACTCCTCCAGGAATCACGCCTGGAGACACAAAGCTTGCCTTCAGATTGACCTAAAATTGGCAAATAGTAGAGTGGCCATGCGTCCTTGCCCTGGACTGTCCCAGCCCCGCTTCAGCTTAGAGTGTGTCTACAGGGAAGTGATTGGGAAGGGGGTTGCCAGTGTCTTTTGGCCAATAATGGCCCCATATGGGTTGCGAATCCCTCCTCTCAGGGACATTGTGGTGTCTGGTTAGCCACTCCAGGAGCACTAAAGTGAGAAATGCCAACAAAGTGATTGACGCCATGGTTAGGACAACCATCACCCCTTATCCAACTGAGCCCATAATGGAAATTATGCATCTCCTCATGATTTTTATTTCTTTCACATGTGAATGATTCTGAATGTTAGGACCACTGCCTTTGCAATCAGTAGCATCTTACAATTTTTAAAAAAATCGAGTAATTCATTCTCCTTTGTAGGATCTGGACTCCCATCTCCTTGACAAATTGAAATGAAGGCAGAGAGGGTGGGACCTGTGGGCCTTTAGGACACCGGGCATGAAGATTTGATTTGGGCATTTATCCCCCCTTTCCCTGCCTCTTCCCACCAGGAGAAGTTGCTCCAGTGCAAGGAACCGCATTTGACCTGAGGAAGCCAGTGGCGCTTGGGAAACACCTGCAGGAGTTCCACGTCGGTGGCTTTGACCACAATTTCTGTCTGAAGGGCTCGAAGGAAAAGCACTTTTGTGCGCGGTAGGTACTTTCCACTTCCTGCCGCTGCAGGGAAGAGGAGATAGCAACCCCTATTTGGGGAGCTTTCCCTCTGGCCACATCAATGCCATTTACTACGCTACCGGGACCAAATACCACATCCCATGTCTTTTCAAAGCTTATATTCCAAAGGTGAGCTCTGCAGAATTTTCCCGCCCCTCCCCGCTCCCAGATGCCATCATCCCTGCCCCTGCCCGGCTTCCCCTCTCTCTCTGCTCCCACCCTCCAGCTCCGCCTGTCCTTTAAGGCTCAGTTTTTCTTAGAAGCCCTAATTCCGCCTGACTGAAGCCCCTTCTGCCTTCCCTGAACTCCCAGAGCCCGCTGTGCTCCCTTGACTTGTGATTTTGCTCTGCCCAACGTCCATGCAAGGTTGGAGGCCGCACTTCTCGTCAGCCCCATAGGCAGTGTGCACACACCCTCCTCACTAACCCCAGCCCCGTCTGCCACCTCAGCTTTGCGAATCCCTGCCTCTGCCTAATGCCACGCTTGCCACGAGCAAAGGACCCTGAGTGTTTGTAGAATGATTTTCAATATGAGAAAATGATCCAAACTCTAAGAAGAAAGAGAACTTAAAAAGCCTGCTTTCCCACGGAGTCCCAGCCCCAGGTCCCGGCTGTGTTCTTTCAGCTCAAGCCTGCTTTTCTCCTCTGGGCCCACTACTCGCTCCTCCCGCCCTGCCCTCACCTGAGGAGACGCTGCCTTCTCTCCAAACCGCCTCTTCCCCAAACGCTTTCCCTTTGCCTTCCTGGTTGACTAGACATGGGGGGATGTTTTCTTCTCAGAGAGACTGTGAGGCCCAGGCTTTCTTGACAGAGACCTCTGTAGAGGCCTGGTTTGGAAACAAAAGAAAACAGTGACGTTGCAGAAACCCCAGCAGATGTTGTAGGGGAGAGCTGACTACAGAGCACAGCCCGCTCTGGTCCCAGGAGGAAAGCGTGTCTTTCAAAAAAACAGCTGGTTGTTTCGCTCCGGCTCTTTATGAGAAAGAATCCCAGCCCCTCCAGGACCCTAAAACCCTAAAATTGCCTCTCTCCAATCTGGCTGCCCCCAACACACACACACACACACCCCTGGCTGGGGTGAGTCTGTTTTGTCCTTCCCCAGAGAAACCAAAATCAGAGTGAAAAGCTGCTATGGAGGATCCTCAAAACCACCTGCTAAGGCTCACCTCGGAGGCTGTGAGAATTTCCCATGGTGCTGTTCCTTCCTGTCTCCTCCATATATCTTGTCCGGGCTCTGTGACGGGGTCCGATCCCTGTTTCAAAGCTGCTTTCCCAGCTTCTGCCTGTCCCTATGTGTGGCTTTATCCCCAGGGTCCATCATGCTGGAAGCGGCCGGGTCCTGGAAGTGCACACCACCCAGCCCGGGGTCCAGTTTTACACGGGCAACTTCCTGGACGGCACCCTGAAGGGCAAGAGTGGAGCAGTCTATGCCAAGCACTCTGGTTTCTGCCTCGAGACCCAGAACTGGCCCGATGCAGTCAATCAGGTAAAGCTACAGGCGGGCCTGTTAGAAGGGTGGTGTGTCCAAGGTCACACTGTAGGACAGAGGTCATGACTCAGGTCTGTGTGAGTCACAAGTCCATGTGTGTTCTCTTCTCCAAGTCATGATAAACACAGGAAACACTTAACCAAGTTACTAGCATGGCATTTACATGTTTTTAAAAATATCTCTTATTTTGTACCTTCAAAGCCTTTATTCAGTTGAATGTTTCTCATCAATACCTACTCATTTTCTACAACCACACTTTTAAGGCGATCCTTCATGTCTTCTCTTCCTATTTGCTTCCTCATAACTTTTTCTAGCCATTTCCTGGAGTAATGAATGCTCTGCAAAGCGCCTGCCTATGATAAGACGCATGTAGCTTGCACCAGAGTATAAAGCCACACACTGCTTCCTTCAAGAAAGTCTTGCTACTACAAAGTGTGCTTAGTGATGTAGTTGATATTCATTCTGGCTCAAATTCTTTTTTTTTTTTTAATATATTTTATTGATTTTTTTACAGAGAGGAAGGGAGAGGGATAGAGAGTTAGAAACATCAATGAGAGAGAAACATCGATCAGCTGCCTCCTGCACACTCCCTACTGGGTATGTGCCCGCAACCAAGGTACATGCCCTTGACGGGAATCGAACCTGGGACCCTTGAGTCCACAGGCCGACGCTCTATCCACTGAGCCAAACCGGTTAGGGCTTGGCTCAAATTCTTTATCTCATGGGAAACCAATAATAAATAGTTCTTTTTTTTAAAGTATGTTTTTTATTGATATATATATATATATATATATATATATATATATATATATATATTTAGTTGATTTCAGAGAGAAGGGAGAGGGAGAAAGAGATAGAAACATCAATGATAGAGAATCATCGGTCAGCTGCCTCCTGCCCGCCCCACACAGGGGATCGAGCCCACAACCTAGGCATGTGCTCTGACCAGAAATTGAACTGTGACCTCCTGGTTCTTAGGTCGACGCTCAGCCACTGAGCCACGCCGGCCAGACAACCGTAAACAGTCTGATATTGCCATATGGACTGGGTAAGGGTGCAGCCTGGCTGGCAAGGTGTAACCTGTGTTTTCCCTCCACAGCCCCACTTCCCGCCTGTGCTGCTGCGGCCTGGTGAGGAGTATGACCACACCACTTGGTTCAGGTTTTCTGTGGCCTAAGGAAGTGTGAAGACATGACCTGCTCCAGGGCCAGGCTGGGAGCCCTTCAGCAGCCTGTCTCCTATTCAGAGATGAGATGAAGATCAGAGGCTTTAAAGGTGATCCCGTGAATTAAAATCATACAAATGGAAGCTGCCATGACAACCACTCTGAATACTGATCTCCTTTCCAGTGACTGGCTCTAATAATCAGCTCTATTCTCTGTGTAGCTAAGAGAACCCAACCACCAAGCATCACCCAAGCCCTAACCCCAGCCCAGACCCCATGCTATTGGCTTCATCTCTCCACCCTGCCTTTCTTTTCTACTTTTCACCCCTGCTTTCTTTGAGCCAACACTCATTCCTTTTCTTTTTCTTCCTCCTCTACCTCAAACCACCTTGCCCTTGAGCATCACTTTGGAGTTCTCAGAGGTCACATTAGTTCGCTCAACATGCTGGCAGATGGACCTCTCTGCCCTGAGTAGATGATTGACAAGTGAGGGAGCTGAGGCTTAAAGAAGCTGAATGAACCACCTGAAGGCCCACAGCCAGGAACAATGTGCCAGGACTTGAGGTCAGTCATGTGAACCCAAGTCCCCTTCTTTGCTCCTCTTCTCTCTGCCAGAGCATTCCACCGCTCACGGGCAAAACGGGGTCTGACCCTTATCTCTTAGAGCCAGCCTTGCTTCCCAGATTCACTTTTATAAAAAGCATTATCCTGTGTGATTAACTGTCTCCCTGCCTTAGAAGTGATGTGACTTAAAGAACCTGTAATTTTGATTCTCTGCCTTTGAAGTTAACTGAGAAAGCCCAGCCACCATATAGAAGAAAGGAAGCACAGAGTCAGGAGCTATGTCCATGTGAGGAGGGCCTTACCTGAGGACCGCACATGGCACCTGGAACAGGTGTTATATGATGTAGATGAGGCTGGGGCTCCCTCTTTTCCTGAAGAGTTGAATCATCTGATGGGTTTGGGCTAATGGTTTTACAAGAAAGGTATCTTTTAAATACTAACAATCAATTGAAATTTTAAAAAGCTCTACACCACCCAGCCAGTGTGGCTCAGTGGTTGAGTGTCATCCCACGAACCAGGTCAGGGTTCGATTCCCCATCAGGGCATATGCCCGGGTTGTGGGCTTGATCCTCGGTGTGGGGCATGCAGGAGGCAGCCAATCAATGATTTCTATCATTATTGATGTTTCTATCTCTCTCTCCCCTCTCTCTTCCTCTGAAATCAATTAAAAAAAATGTTTAATAAATAAAAATAAAAAGCCCTGCACTTTCAAAGACTTCAGAGTTTCTTCACTTACCTTAAAATTGTACATGGACCAAGTCTGGGTTCTGGGTTCTACTATGCTCTCCAATACGACCCCAGCATCTTCCTAGAGGAAAGCTACCTAACTGGCAGCCTATTGAGCTTCCCATACTTCCCCTTTCTTAGCAACCACAATAAACCAAAGATAGTGTTTATTTTTTAATTCACTTCAGCATAGATTTTCTGAGTACCTATTTGCACACAGTTCTCTTACTGAGTCTTTTAAGGGAAGTAGGAGGTGATGTCTAAGATGTAGTATGTTGCCTCAGGGATATCACCATCTCTGGGAGAGAAAAGACCAATAGCAATTTGATGATGTAGAATTGCACTGACACAGCTGGGAGCCCTGAACTAATACTAACTTTGCTTCTGGCATCTACTACATGGGCAAACAATCTAATTTCACTTGGCCTCTGTTTTCTCACTTGCAAGGCAAAGTACTTTGTTTTTCTCTGTTCTGAAAATAGAATTGTTTTTACCATAAGCTGAGCCTAGAGTAGCCCAAATAAGGATATTCAACTTTAGCATCTGAAAGAAGTTACTGGTATTTTAATTGTGTTTATGAAAGCCGATAAAGAGGCAAAGTTTGATTGTCAAGCCATAAGTCCGATGAAAGTAAAATTTTAGAGAAATTAATCTTTTGTGGTGGCAACCAGTCTATTCTTTTTCGTGAAACACACACATAAAAGAGAACTTTGATGTGCCTGAGGAAAGACACTACATAGTTATGAGACATGTTGAGTATGGCATGTGAGCATAATTGTATTTTATGATGAAATCGTTGAAGGTGTCAGCAAGAAACAATTTTACAATCTAACAACTGGACACTTCGCTCATATGAAGCGGTGAGAACTAACATGGTATTTGACATGAAAAACATCATGTAACTACAGCATGAAAGCCTTATTGAAAATGCAAGTATCCACTAAACTGCCACATACACGCCCCTCCAAGGCCCCAGGAGTCCAAGCCTTCCTTACCACACACCCCTACCCATAACCACATTAGCGCTTTATTGTTCTAAGTTCTGACCCTTCACAGGTGAGGGAATCATTGAGTTAGCTCAGTGATCTGTGGAATCCTATTTCAAATTCATAGGACAGTAAGTTCTTATGATTAGCTGTGGGATTTTGATTATTCTGATTTCTACTCATTTTGTCAACAAGAAAGATGTAATATTGAATAATTGCACAAACATTGCTGTAAAGACTAAGATGGCATGATGTAGAGGTTGAACTGTTGCGACTGTTCGGTGACCAATGTCAGGCAAACCTCAGCTGACTAAAGAAAGTTCGTGTCAATGAATAAATAAATGGATAGTTTGTGAAAAGTAGAACATGAAAAAATACAGGACTATCAGAAGACAGGAAGAAAGCACAACATATACCCATGTCCCATTATCAATCATAACCATTTTAAACAATTGGATCACCAGTTTACAAGGGGCTATTTGAACAGTTTTGACAGGAATACAATCCTTTTCCAATCAAGGTATTTATCTTCTTCCTCTAAGTTCCAACTTCTCCAATCCAATTACTTCAATCATAAGTATCAGATGCTTTGGGTAGCACTTTAAAATATAGTTTTATTGATTTCAGAGAGGAAGGGAGAGGGAGAGATAGAATCATCAATGATGAGAATCATTGATTGGCTGCTTCCTGCATGCTCCCCACTGGGGATCCAGCCCACAACCTGGACATGTGCCCTTGACCAGAATCAAACCCAGGACCCTTCAGTCCATAGGCAGATGCTCTATCCACTGAGCCAAACCGGCTAGGGTGGGTAGCACTTTAGCTGTAGCCAAGTAAGGTGCTCAGCAAATCCTCACCTCAAAAAAGCAATTATTATGCCCGGGGTGCGGGGGAGGACGGGACGAGACTGACAAAACAATTTTGCTGCTCTGGAAACTGACCAAAACCACAACAATCTGAGATGTGTTTACGTTTGAAAAACTGAACTTTGGGTAGGAGCCGTGGGAAACTGGTGTTCTTGCCTGGAGCTGCTTCCATTCCCCTTACTTTCCCAGCTCAGTCCTGTGGGGGTTCTGCCAAAGCAAAACAAAACATGAGGACCGGCAGGTTGCTGTGGTCGATGAGGAGCTCACTCACTCTGGAGGTGTGGGTTATACCCATGTCCAAACACTTCATCAGTACAAGGGAAGTAATGGCCTCTGTGCTATGGGAGCATGGAGGACCGCCGGCTCTGTGAGCCTGACGTCGCAATCACGATTGCAGCAAGCACATTCTGCCTAATCGGGCTGCGCACACGCACAGAAGAGACCAGAGGGTCCAAGCTATTCACACACTCCTGGCCAACGCTCAGGCTGCATCCATGTGCAGAGAAAATTAAGAGGGGCTTAGCAAAAAGTAAAAGCCAGGAGGGACTTGAAAACAGCCCAAACACTGAATTCACTCTATCTACACACAGATCCATCAGGAGAGGGTAAAAATCTGACTGGTTTAGGTGTTTCTGTCCAGTTTAATGGCTGACCACTAACCTATGTAGATGCAGGGCAACCCCCTAGAAAGCTGAGCTTAAAACTAAACACAAGATTTTTAAAAAGTAACCAAAATACTAAATAGAGATTATAAAAAGAATCAAGTGAAATCCTGAGGTTGAAACATACAATAACAAATGAAAAGTTCACTAGAAAGGCTCAGAAGCAGATTCAAGATGGCAGAAGAAAGAATAAGAACTTGACGATAGATTAATAGCAATTATTTAATTTGAAAAAGTGAGAAGAGATTGAAGAAAATGGAAAAGAACCTCAGACACATATAGGACAACATCAAGTGCATCAGCATATATGTAATGGGAGTCCAAAAAGGAGAGGAGAGAAAGGGACAGAAAAATATTTCAAAAAATAATTTTGGGGAAAAAAAAACCCTCCCCAAATTTGATGAAAACCATTAATCTATATATCCAAGACGCTCAACAAACTCCAGAGAAAATTTGAAAGCAAGAGAAAAATAATTCATCAAGCCCTAGCCAGCTTGGCTCAGTGGATAGAGCACTGGCCTGTGGGCTGAAGGGTCCCAGGTTTGATTCGGGTCAAGAGCACATGCCTGGGTTGTGGGCTCGATCACCAGTGGGGGGTGTGGAGGAGGCAGCTGACCAATGATTCTCTCACATCATTGATGTTTCTATCTCTCCTTCTCCCTTCCTCTCTGAAATAAAAAAACAAAACAAAACAAACTCATCAGAACAGGGACCATCAATACAATTAACATGTGACTTCTCATCTCAAGCAATGGAGTCCAGGAGGCAATAGAATGACATAATCAATGTGTTTAAAAACCAGAGATTCTATATCATCCAAAAATGCCCCTCAAAAGTGAAAGTGGGGGAAAAATCACACATTTCCAAATAAAGAATGAGAGAATTCATTGCTAGCAGACCTGTCTTACAACAAATACTAGAGGAAGTCCTTTATGTGAAAGAAAATTAAGATGGTAACTCAAATCCATGAAATAAATAATATCAGAAATGATAAATATGTGAGTTAATAAAAAAGTATATTTTCTCATTTCTTTAAAAGATATAAGATTGAATAAAGGTATAATTATAACGTGGTATCACTGAGTTTATAATACAAAATATAGAGCAGCCCTGGTTGGTTTGGCTCAGTGGATGGAGCGTCAAGCCTGTGGACTGAAGGGTCCCAGGTTCGATTCCCGTCTAGGGCACATGCCCAGGTTGCAGTCTCGATCCCCAGTAGGGGGCGTGTGGGAGGCAGCAGATCAATGATTCTCTCTTATCGTTGATGTTTCTATCTCTCCTTCTGCCTTCCTCTCTGAAAACAATAAAAATGTATTTTAAAAAAGAGAGAGAGAGAGAG